CCCAGCGATTCGACGTCATGGCGGTCCAAGAACCATGCTGCCGTGGGAACATGGTCACGGGGTTCGGCCTCGCATCGAGGGTTATCGCTCTGAGCAGTGGAGAGAGGAGGCCCAGGGCTGCCATAGTGGTCAATAACCCAAACCTCGATGTGATGGATCTGAGGCAGTACACCACGCCGGATAATGTCGCTTGCTTCATCAGGTGGAGTAACGTTACTTTTACGCTTGTATCGGCTTACCTACCTGATGGAAATGATATTAACGAAGACATATCCGCCATGGAGATGATCACAGCTTGTTCTCGAAACGTGATCATATGCTCAGATACCAACTCCTGGAACACGGTTTGGGGGTCCAATCGAACAAATAGAAGGGGTACTAAGCTCGGTGATTTCATATCTAGGAGTCAGCTAGTAGTAATTAACGATCCTTCTGCCATCCCTACATTCTCTAGTGCTAGAGGACAGAGTTGGATTGATGTGACTCTGGCATCACCGCAGCTGGCTAACCGCATCACCGATTGGGCCCTCGGATCTGATACGAGTTCCGACCATCACTCAATAGTGTTTAGTGTCGTAGAAAATGCGACACTTACAAGTTCCCACGGCATAACTAAAGGCTATATTACAAAAAGAGGAAACTGGAGTGCCTTCCGGTCCACGTTAGAGGGAAAACTCGTTGACAATGAATGGGATGCGGCGGAGACGGATCTGACTGATGACCTAGATTACAGAGTCTCCAGAATAACAGATATCATCTGTGATGCTGCAGAGGAAACCCTCCAGCACCGGAAGGCAAGAGCTCGACCAGTCCCATGGTGGACGACGGCCCTCACTATTATGAAGAGAGACCTCTACAAGGCACGGCGGTCGTACCAGAGGTGTAGTTGTGATGAGAGGCGCACTACACTTCATGACGAGTACAAGTCTAAGGCCAGGACATACCGAAACGAAGTGCGGTCACTAAAGCGGAAGTCTTGGGACGAGTTTATCGTCGAGGAGTCATCCAAGAACCCCTGGGGTATCCCTTACAGAGTGGCCCTGGCTAAGATGAGTCCACAACAGGTGATTGCTGCAATGAAGAGCGGCGATGCCCAGGCGACCACTCTGGAGGAGACGGCGAAAAATTTCATTATAGAGACCTTCCCCAGAGATGATCCATCCCAAGATGACGAGAGAGACGCGTTTATTAGACGCACTACGGTATGCCCACCCGGTACAGACTTGTGCCCACCCTGGGACATATGGGATCTCCGTACTGCCGTGGATAGACAAAGGCTTGGTCGTGCCCCAGGTATTGACAATATTGATACGGCAATCCTCCGAAATAGTATTCCCTACATTGAAGATCAACTCCTGGCAATATTCAATGATTGCTTAGATAGGGGCTACTTCCCAAAAAAGTGGAAAATTGCCGATCTCAGACTTATTTACAAGGGAGGTGACAAGGATAAACAAATGGCAAAGTCTTATAGGCCTATCTGTCTCCTCCCTGTTATGAGTAAGGTGTTGGAGAACATGATGGTCACGAGCCTACAGCCTATTTTTTCGAGAGCTTCCCATCCACGGCAGTATGGATGTACCAAAGGCAGGGGAACTGCAGATGCCCTGCTGAGAGTACGCCATGACGTTGAAGAGAAGGCGGAGAAGTATGTCATGCTCCTCTTGTTTGACATCACCTCCGCCTTCGATAGCGTATGGTGGCCAAGTGTACTCCAGCAGCTGCAGAAATACGAGACTCCTAGCAACTTGTACATTTTGATGAGAAGTTATCTCCAGGATAGAACGCTCCGAATAAGAGGTAATTTCTACGAAGTAGAAGATAGTATGGAGAAAGGCTGTCCACAGGGCTCTGTCCTTGGCCCTGCTCTGTGGAAACTTGTCTTCGACGAGTTGCTGGGTGTGCTCGAAGAAGAGCAGTTCTCCGCCACAGCTTTTGTGGATGATTTAGCCGTTGTGGTGGCGTCGAATAGCAGAGCCAGGTTGAAAGAAGAAGCTGAGCGGTGCGCCAACCTGATAGAAAGATGGTGCGAGATGAAGAAACTGCGGATGTCAGCTGCTAAAACACAAGCTATCCTCTTGAAAGGCAAGACTGATAGGGCTCATCCTATTACAATGATAATCCAAGGATCGAGAATTCGTCCGAGTGAGGTTGTCACCTACCTCGGAGTCAGAATAGGAAGAAATTTCAACGTGTCACCTCACTTGGACTATTTGAGAAGTAGGGTGACCCTAGCGCTTAATGGACTCAGTCGTATCGGGGGTGCATTTTGGGGCCTCAGATACCCAGCGACTAAGACAATTTATAAAGGTGTAGTTCTGGGTATTCTGAGGTACGCGTCCCCAGGTTGGTTTCTGCATCTCTCGCACCACCAGAAGAGGCGGTTGGCTTCGATTCAGCGGACGGCTCTGCTGTGCGTCACCAGAGCTTTCAAGACAGTGTCTCATGAGGCAGTACAGGTCCTGGCAGGAGGTGTTCCTCTCGACCTCCTGTTGCAGGAAGACATGTTAAATCACCAGCTTTCAAGAGAAGGCTCGGCAGGTCTACCAGAAAATCTCCGTGAGAAGATTAACCAACAGCCAGGTAGATGGAAAAAGATAATACAAGAGTACACCCTTGACGAATGGAACCAGCGATGGGTAACAACTCCGAAAGGAAGTACTCTTAGAAAATATTTTCCCACCATCGGTTCCCGGTTAGCAGCAAAATGGGTGGAACCTGGTTATTGGGTCTCCCAACTACTCACTGGACACGGGGGCTTCCGAGCAAAGCTCTTCCAATTTGGAAAGAATATCGACCCCTTGTGCCCCAGTTGCGGAGTCCCAGAGACTGCCGAGCACATTGTCGTAGCATGTACTGCCTATGAGGCACAGAGAGCAAAACTGCTCAGGGAAACCGGTCTCTACATTTTGACTGAAAGGGAGCTCCCTCAACTCATGAGTGAGGAAAACTATCCTCATTTTATAGATTTCATTGCAAAATGGAAATCCATTATAGGCCCAACTCATTTCTACTTGGGAAGAAGAGGAGCTGCACCGCCTGGAAGGCCGCCGGACGGAGTAGCAGAAGAAATCCGTGACCAAACTTAGAAGAAATGTAGTCGAAATATGGACCCAGTCTATAAATATTGTTTTTCTAGCAGCTGTGTGTTGTTACGCGGAAACGCTTAACATCTCACTGCTGCTAAAACCCGTATTGCCTATCAGGCACGGCAGGGATGTAAATAAATAAATAAATAAATAAAACTCCTCTGTCTTGCCTGGTAATTATCAATCTTTATATATATATATATATATATATATTTTTTTTTTTTTTTTTTTTTTTTTGTGAAATGAGTTGTTTCACAATGGGGGATATGTTTTTGTGCAAAGCTATTCCATGATTGTCGGGTGGAGGCTAGTGGTGGGGGCAGATCAGATAAGATCTGAAAGAAAAAATTTAAACCGTACCAGCTACCGGTACGACTGGACCACTCCATCACAGACCCACATAGATGCAACAACTGCACCGAGGGTGCCCTCAGGTAATAATATGTCTATGCCAGCTTAACATGGTAAGTCGATTTGCACAATTCATATAATCTACAAATTCATCAAAATACAGTCCATTGTATAAATAAGTCGAATATTTATCATAAGTTGAATGTTTCTTATTTTGAACTCATTAAGAGTTGTATGTCTTTATTAAATTAAAATTGGAAAGTTGCCTAATCAACATTTTTATTTTGTATACATCGGGACCAGTACTTTAAATTTCAATAAAAAAAAAAAAAAAAATTTCGCCTTATAGTTATAAGGTTTGAAATATCGCCAATCTGCGCGGAAAATTGACTATTGTTAGAAATAGGTTGGAGGACTTGTAAAAACAAAATAATCTTAAAAAATGTCTTCATTCGATTTTTTCTATCTAAGCAGGACTATGTTCAGTAGACGCTGTTACACCCTGTCTTAATGATAGTTTGGACATTGTGACTATAGGGTCAATTTTTCGATGTAGGACTGAATTGCACGATTTAAGCGTAAAACAATGGATGGTTGTAAGTAACGATAACTGTCCGGTATGTAACTCTCAAGAAAAAGAGAATATCATTCACATTTTAGGGACTTGTCACATGTACAGTGAGATAAGAGAAAGATATTTTGGACAGCAGAACTGTTCTCCAGAAGAATTATTTGGTTTATTAAAGAGTTCTAACTGGAAAGCCTTAAACAATTATGTACAGCAGGCCACATTGCAAAGATCTCAATTAGTTAGTAAGTGAACCATTGGTACGATATCGTGTTTATTTATTGTAATGTTTTTTTATTGTTTAATTATATTTGATTGTTATTATTATTATTATTATTATTATTAAAATCAAATTTCTTATTTATTGGATTTATAAGGTATTAATGTTTGTTTTTTAAAATCCCTATGTAAACAAATGAAACAGTGAAGGAAGAAATTGCTAGAATGGAGGTATAAATAATACTGTAGATATATTATTACTCATTTATTTTAGTTATAAATGTAATGAATATTTATTATGAATTACACACAGACCTCGACAGATGGAATTTTCCATTATCTATATGTTGTTGCTTGAATATATATTTTACTTCGTATTTTTTAAAAGTATAATAAACACGTTTTCATTCATTCAACTATATACAATGATTGATCATTGTGAATCGATTCAGTTTAAAGAAATGAAATTCCTATCTCTATAAATAACCTTCCCTGTGAAAATAGAAATTTCATATGAAACGACTTGGTAACAATTTAATTTTAAAATCTAGTGTCTCTATTACCATAGAAACGTATTAGGTTAGAAAATTGCTAAATATTAGATTTAATATAAATATATATATATATATATATATATATATATATATATATATATATATATATATATATACTTTTTTTTTTTTTTGTGGGGGTGAAGTTGGTGTTTATTTAATTTTTATTACTTGTAACAAAGCAGTTAAGTCAAACAATGCATTCATTGCCGAAAAACTAACCTGATAAAAATGTAGGGAGCAATTACTGAGTGTACCATAGCTCGCTCTGGCCTGCTTAATAACTGAGTAGGGACTGTTAACACTCTCCTCTCCATATTCTCTGTTTTATAAACTTCTAGAGTTTCTTTACTGAAAATAGCTAGAATTTAATTAATAAACTATTTAATAAAAATAGTTACTATAATCATATGGTTCATTGAGAATTCGGTCGATAAATTTTTGTATCATGTTTTAATGACAAAAATGCTCACAGTTAACACTTATCATATTTACATTGACATACAAATAATTAAATATTATTTTAAAATTCAATACAAAAATACAATATTTAATGATCGATTTAGCAGGACGCGCTTATAGACCACGTGCCAGGTCTGAAAAGGCCGTAGTATTTTAAGCAAATTTTCAGCGTATCAGGCTGATAATACTCCTTTTAGGTATTACGAAAATGATCGTCTTCCACCTTAGACAGGTAGATTTAAGGTTTTAGGAGCATTTGAACCCATCAAAAAGTGTGGGGAATTTTTAGAAAATTTTCTCTTCGTCTCGTTAAGATACAATTTTGAATAATAGGTCATTAGAAAGGGGATGAAATTCTGAACATTTCCCTTGCCAACAGTATGCAGACAATTTCAGTTTCTGAGATATTTTAATCCTTATCTTCAATAAAAACTGGTTATTGGTTGTTTTTCGACACTATTTTTTCACTTTTTTCCTCTTTAACGCGACGTCGCGTTAAGATACAATTTTCAATAATAACTCATTATAAAAAAGATGAAATTCTGAACATTTTCCTTGCCTACAGTACGCAAGTCCGATTTTTAGTTATTTTTTAGAGATATATTAATCCAAATGCAAAAATACTTCAATTGGTTGACTCCCAAAACCCGCCTATTCATTATAAGGCGATTCAATGATGCTGCTCCGAGGGAATATAATTGCAAAGAAATTACCCAAGATGGATAAAAAATCTGGTTAGGGTGGGAAAGAATCTGCAAAGTTGGAAAGCCAACGATTTTGCAAAATGTCTGATTACTGGAGTAAATAACACTAGCGAGATGGTGGAAGTTCCCATAACGTTGATAGGGATGGGCAATTCCGACTACGATTTTGAACGGAACTTACGAACGGATTAACGAACGTCGGATAAGACTAACAGCCAATAAAGTATCTAAATTTCATTTTTCGAATTTTTTAAAAAATTAATTATAATTTATCTAACCGAATTCTAGATTGGCAACCGCCAGGAAGACATAGGCGAGAACAACCCAGAAAAAGATGGATGGATGAAGTGGATGAGGAGATGGGTGGCTGAGGTCTTCATGATGCAGATTGGCTTGACTGTGATCTCTGGAGTTCAGCCCTGACTTGAAAGGCAATCCTCCTTGTAACGCCTATATGTTTCATAATAATTCTAAATTTTATATTACAAAATTCATTTGTTTTTATCATTATTTATTTTAATATAATTCTGCCATAAAACTATTTTTTGATTGATTAAATTTCTTTATTTGTCTTATTAATTTACCTTAAATATTCCCTTACCTCAAGTTACAGAAAAAAAATAATCAATAAAAATCCAGTTCTTTTTCCTATTTTACTTTTTTATTATATGTACAATTTAATTAATTTAAAGCTTAGTAATAAATTAAATTTAGTCGTTATGGTTCATTTTTAAAGCAATCAAGTCAACTATGCCGATAATCCATTTTGGCGGCGATCTGCTATAGCACACTCACCTTAATTGCTATAACTCTCTTTTACACCTATTTGGCTTTTCTGCCAAATATTTACCCTGTGCCAGCCTTAAATGCACCCCCAGGCAATGCCAGCATCTCCCAAACACTCCCCAAAAAAATTTGTTTCTTAAGCTATTTTATATTATGAAATATTTGAATTTCATTTCATTCATTATTTCTCTAATAAAGTTATTTTATTCGTAGGTCAATATCAATTATTTTAATATGTTCGGATGTTTTTTTAAATTTTTAACAAGTGGCAGGTACGCCCTCCCCCCCAGATTGGTACTTTGTTATTATACAACAGGCTTATCAAAAATTATATTTCAAAAAAATAATTAAAGACAAACTGTTGAATGAAATAAAAAGTGTTTATTTCATAGATATGGCAATAATTCAAATTAGGATGGGTCTTCATAAAAAAATAATAAAATGGATTAACTATCAGGCTGTAAAAATTATGTAGATTTTTTTAAGCAGAATTCAGCCAGAATTAAGTCACTTTCCGAAGAACAGAACCTTAAATCAGTACAGGATCCATGGTCTCATAATAGGATAAAAAAGACTAATTGCAAATAGGAATTCAAGAATTTTCACTATTTAAAAATAAATAAATAAAATGATAAATCTTTTTAGTATTATGTGGTATAAGCGTAATATAAATAACAAATAAAATAAAAGTTTAAAATTAAAATATATTTTTTAAAACAAAAATTACATTCATTTAAAAAATAAAATTTTCTATAATACATTTTAAACTCTGATACCAGCAGGATTATTTACTTTTTTTAAATGAGAGAAATATTACAAACATCAACTAATGCTAAAAATCAATTATTAAACCAACAATAATAAATATTTAAATAAGGCATTTTCCAGAAAATAATATAAACCAATTCTCCTAACATTAAAACAATCTATAGGTATATTAAATATAACAATGAATTCACTAATATATACTGTTAATTTATATTATATGGACTGATGTAATTTGAGAATAACTAAGTTCTTATCTGACATTAAAATCACTTGTGAAGAATTAAATATACAATTACTGAGTAAATTGTTTCATGTCTTGTATTAGAAAGGAGCGTAAAATAAAGTACAGTTTCACAAAACATGAATAATTTTAATCATTTCATTTCATAACCAATTTCTCAAACAAACAAATAAATTTTAACTTCAGAATATAATTAATGTCTCAATACCAGTGAAACAATTTTAGTAACAAAAAGAAAAATATCAATGAGCTTGTCCGTATTAGAAATCCAATAATCAAAATTTCAATTAATTACAGCACTCCTTTATAATTATTACATTTCTTGGACTAATAATACCAAGAATAACATAGTTCTTCAATAATATGAAATAACAGAAAAACAATTTCTTACCAGTGTTTTAAATATACCCCTTATTCAAGATCTAATTTGATCTAACATCATTTAATAATCAAAGATTATTTAGAATAATTCTTTTTTTTTTTTAATCATCATTTATATTACAATAAGACTAAGCACCAATGTTTCATTATTTATTGATGATTGCATAATCAATTATGCAAAAATTAGTTCTTGGAAACGTTTGAAAAATAAGTTAAGAGAGACAGGAACCCTCCAAAAATGAATATTAAATGTACAACCATATCGCTATACAATTGTTTTTAATATATTTATATGACATATTCTAAATTAATGAATAAATTATAAACTATCGTCCAGCACTATAGCCAGGAAAAAGTAAAAGCAGTGCGTCTTGAAGATATTTATTCTGCTCCATTTCAAATTTTTTACCAAGTTCTGTTCTGCAATATGGACAAGTGTAAACTTCAGCGCTGAAGGATCTTTGCAAGCACACCTGCAGAAAAGAAGAGTAAATTGGAAGTCAAAATACAGTTTAAAAAAATAAAACAACTGTAATTATTAAAATCCACAAAACTTAAAGTCAAGTATGTCATCTGACAAGATTTATGTAAATGTAGATTAACAAATTAAAAGATTCAAAAATGAAACTGGAATTATTACACGAAAATAATTTCCATTAAAAATGGAAAATGCATCCATTTAAAATATAAGAAACAAATGTCTACACAATAAGAAAACTAAAATTTAAGAACCAATAATTAGGTATGTTGTGTTTTGGTTATGTAGAAGAAGATATACATGATAAAGGTCATTGGATATCATAGGTATGCTTTAAGTTATTTTTGTGATAAGCAACATAAGATTTAAAGAAAAAAAATTAACAATTGAAACGTACTAAGCAAATATTATGCCCACAATGAGTAGTTATAGGTTGGAAAACTAGTTCTTGACAGCATATACACATAAATGTTTCTTCAACTTTGGACAGGAATTCCTAAAAAAAAAAGTAAATTAATTATTAACAACCTAATAATAATAAATATTCAACATAATGAAAGCTCAGTGTTAGTTAATAATATTTTTTTATAAATTAGCTGCAGTTTTTTCTCTATTGCAAAGAATAAAATAAAAAAGCTGAAAACAGATAGTGATCATACCTTTTTACCAGATTCTAAAGCAAGTTTTACAGTATCCCAAAGTTTAGAGTTAGCAGTGTCATTGTTAATTTTATCTTCTACATCTTCTTCTAATTTATATGCCATAAGTTTTACTTTTTTCTTCTTTGGGCTACCTTCTGAGTTCTCAGTAAAAAACCTCTTCAATTTTGAATTAGCAGGGATATTTTCTTTTTCTTTTTTTTCCATTGCTGCCAAGTAGCCATCTGGAAACTATAAATATTCATCAACTTTTATATTAGTAAGGACTTAGATCTATCAACTAAATTAATACCTATAAGAACTAATTTTTTTTTAAGTTTATAAATAGGCAAAAAAACACTTATACTTAAATAATAAAAACTTCTGAAAAGGCCTGTGGTGAGCAGGCAGTTCTTATAGTTTACATAATGAAAAAAAAGAGAAATTTTCTATTGATTTTTATTTAGAAGAAAAACAAAATGCTTTAAAGTAAGAATAAACTGAAAATACATTTTAAAACTTCCCAAGGAATCATTAGTAGGCTAATGAAAAACATAACAAATGAGATGAATTCATAAAGTAATAGGAATTGTCATTTTTTCAAAACAATTTTATTAATTCATGGGTGATAAATATTCAGGACACAGACTTTTAAGAAATTTTTTTAATTTTTTATTTGTACTAATGTTTCAACCCAAACATGTAGGTCATCTTCAGGGCTGAAAATTTTAAAATACAATGAGGGAGGTAACATTTCTGTTAGTAGAATGTACATTATTTTACTGACTAAATATTTTAGATGTGTACACGATTTGCATCTTATGGTTACAAAATTGTGAATATTGGCTAGTAATGAAATGAACAGAAACAAGAGGTTCCAATCAATATAAATATAACATAGTTTGATTAAAGGTATACAATGGTTAGCCTAATAATATTTATAATAAAGACAATTGAGAATACTAACAGAAATGTTACCTCCCTCCCCCTCTGACTATGTTTATGTTTACCTACCTTTTGCCATCTGAAAAAGGACAACTGGGAAATCCTTCCCTGACCTTTCCACTTACCTACCAAATGTGTCAGTACTTGAAAGCCTTCAGTGCTTGAACCACGGTTAGTAAGAGAAAATATTACAAATTTTTATAAATAGATTATATATATATTATTTTTAGTTTGTATAACTTTTTACATATTTCATTTTTAATATTGTGTATTGTAATAATAGTTAAGATTCATGTACCATCAAATCACTGTAGTTTATTAATTACCATTATCGGTTGTATAATATTATATCTCTGATTATATTTTAAAATTTTTAGCCCTGAAGATGACCCACATGTTTGGGTTGAAACGTTGGCACAGATAAAAAAATAAGAAAATTTTTTTAAAAGACTGCGTCCTGAATATTTATCACCCATGATATGTAGAACAGTCGACTAGCTTCCTTCAATAATTTTATTAGTTCATTTACAATTTTAACACCTTCATAATAATCCCCATTAGGTATTAGACACTTATGCTAGAACTTCTTCCAGTTTCTGAAACATTTTTCGAACATGATCTTTGGGATAACACTTAGCTCTCTCTGTGATGCACTTTTAATCTCATCTGTGCTAAAAATTGACGGCCTTTCAAGGTTCTTTTTATTCTTGGAAAGAAGAAAAAATCAAACAGTGCCATATCGGGGTATATATATAGCATTTCCAAGTCAATTTCAACCTTTTCCAAATCAAATTCAACCTTTTCCAAGTCAAATTAAACCTTTTCCATTTCAAATTCAACCTTTTCCAAGTCAAATTCAACCTTTTCCAAGTCAAATTCAACCTTTTCCATTTCAAATTCAACTTTCGAATTTTTGTCAATTTTCAATTTTTTTCGAAATGAAGGCCACTTACTATATTATCGAAGGCATAGCTTTTGAAAAATACAAAAAAAATTTTGATAACGCAGTTGCATATCCATTTTTTTAACATTTTAGATTTTTTCAGTGTGATATTTCTATGTCATTTCCAAGTAAAATTCAACCTTTTCCAAGTCAAATTCAACCTTTTCCAGATCAAATTAAACTTTTTCCAAGTCAAATTCAACCATTTCCATTTCAAATTAAACCTTTTCCAATTCAAATTCAACCGTTTTCATTTCAAATTAATGTTTTAATTTTTTGTAAATCTTATATTTTTTTTTTAAATGATGGCCATCCCCTCTCCCTCCCCCAATATGAAAGTCTATTATTATGCTCTCCTAAGTAGAATTTTCACTTACGGATATCGATTTATTGTACCTATTCGGATTTATTAGGGACTAGTATTATGCTGTCCTGTACATAGTTTTGAAAATATCCCCCATTTTAAGATTAAGTGACTGTGTTTCGAATCATTTAAGTTTTTTTGACTTATTCGATATAAGGGTGTATTTTTATGTTTCCCGATCAGTAAATTTTGAAAATGAAATCCATGTTATGTTTACGCCACTGTGTTTTGACTTATTTAAGTTTTTAGAATTTATCCAATATAAAGATCTACTTTTATGTTTCTGGAGCCGTAGATTTTGAAAACGACCTCCATTTTAAGATTAGGCCACCGCATTTCGGCTTATTCAAGTTTTTCAAATTTATCCAATTTAAAGTTCTACTTTCATGATGCCGGAGCCTTAGTTTTTAAAACGACTTACATTTTAAGATTAGGCCACTGTGTTTCGGTTTTTTTAAGTGTTTTTGATTTTTCCTTCGAATAAAAAACAAAATACGAAGGATTATTTATTTTTCAATAAATAAATAAAAATATCTAATCAAAATAAAAAAAATATGTAGTGTCTCATTTTTAATTTAATTTTAGTTATCTTTTTTAATGTTGTGGTCTCCTGTCACAAAATTATAAGATTTCGAACAATTAGCTGAAAAATTTGAATACGGAAGGTTAAATTTATTACCAGCTGCTTTTCGGCTTTTTAGTTTGTATTCTGTGGTTAATTTAACTTTAGCTTCATAATATTTATTTATTTATTCATACTCGAAAACATATTGATGAAACTTTGTATTGAAAAAATCCAAAATGAAGCATTATTATTATTATTATTCGAGATGCAGCGGCTTAATCATAAAATGGAGCTTAAATATTAGATAAATTTAAATATTAAAGATTAGAAAAATTTCAATACGTCTCGGATAACATCTAAGTAGATCCTTATACCGAAAAAGTAAAAAAAAAAACTTTATAATCCAAAACAAAGTGGCATAAACTTGAAATTGGGTCATTTACAAAATGAGGGAAATCTACTGTTCCAGAAACATAAAAGTAGACCTTAATATTGGATAAATTCGAAAAACTTAAATAAGTCAAAACGCAGTGGTGTAATCATAAAATAGAGGTCATTTTCAGTATCTACGGTTCCGAAAACATAAAAGTAGACCTTTAAATTGGATAAATTCGAAAAACTTAAATAAGTCAAAATGCAATGGCTTAATCATGAAATGGAGGCTATTTTCATAATCTACGGCTCAAGAAACATAAAAGTAGACCTTAATATTGGATAAATTCGAAAAACTTAAATAAGTCAAAACGCAGCGGCGTAATCATAAAATGGAGGTCATTTTCAAAATCTACAGCTCCGGAAACATAAAAATACACCCTTACATCGAATAAATAAAAAAAACTTAAATAAGTCGAAACGCAGTGGCTTAATCTTAAAATGGAGGTCGTTTTCAAAATCTACAGCTCCAGAAACATAAAAGTAGACCTTTATATTAGATAAATTCTAAAAACTTTAATAAATCAAAACACAGTGGCGTAAACATAAAATGGATGTCATTTTCAAAATATACTGATCGGAAAACATAAAAATACACCCTTATATCGAATAATTAAAAAAAACTTAAATAATTCGAAACTCAGTCACGTAGCCTTAAAAAGGAGGTTATTTTCAAAAACTACTCATATGATAACAGACCCACACATCAAAAAATTAAAGATAATTAAATAAATAAAAAAAGGTTGAATTTGAAATGGAAAAGGTGTAATTTGAAATGGAAAAGGTTGAATTTGACTTGGAAAAAGTTTAATTTGATTTGGAAAAGATTGAATTTGACTTGGAAAAGGTTGAAATTGACTTGGAAATGCTATAAATATGGATGCTGAGGCATCATTACAGAGTTGTTTATCACCAAAAATTTACAAAAAAAGTATTGAAGTGTGTGCAAGTGCATTAGCATGAATGAAAAATTTTATGTCATCAGTCAGTTGATATGTCAAATTCAACAACTTCTCTGATTGTGATTCGGCTATTGTTAATAATCATTTCCCATGTTTTCATCATAGAGGTGCTGAGGCATCCAATATGCTTGTCATCATTAATGTTCTTTAGACCAGATAAGAAATACTTGTTCCACTCATAAACCCTTGTTTTACTCATAGCGAAATCACCAAAAATAGTATTCAACATTTCTGAAACCTTGTTACATTTTATTCCTTTTTTATAGTATAGTTCAATGCAATTTTCCATTACTTTTTGAAACAATCTCGTTCCTCTATTGTATTATTATTTTTTATTGAAAATTATTTGTTTGTCCCATGGTTTTGGGGATATTAAGTGATAAAACATTCAGAGCATACAAATACTTTTTATGACAACTGAATAATAGGGTTACTCAAGACTCTACTGTAGTCGATTTTCTTATGAATTGTGATTACAATAGGATAAATGGAATTGTTTCTAAAATTTATTTTCCACAAATGTTGCCTATTTCTTCTTAAAAATTTATCAGATATATTTTTTCTATATATGTATTTATGGTATTTTAAATTACATCTCTTCTATAGAAATTATAAGATAGACACTGTTTCAAAAAATAATAAAAACTGATTTACATACCACCATTTCCAAACCTAGTGATTCAACACGAGCTTTCCCTTCTTTAGTCCATGGTGCAGGAGTAGGATCATCTCTTCTAAGCAAATATCTCCAGACGATGTACCCAGACTTTCCCTTTTCTGGATAATATTTGACTACTTTATAAATACCATCATACCTATAATTTAACATAGAATAAAATCAATAATTAAATAATAGCTTATGTTAAAATGAATTACTTTACAATAAAAGCGACAATAAATATTTATCTCTTGATCAACTTAATAAATGTAATGAGTATGGTATTAAATCTGCAAACCACATTGTTCACTTTTATTGATTTTATTAACATGTTAAAACAGTCATAAGAGGCCTAACTCCATCTGGAGTTTCCTGCCTGTTTGCCCATCATCCGTTTCAATTACATGATATTAGATGAATCAATCCAAATACTAAAGCAGCTCTGCCATTCTATTAAAAATGGTGCCAGACAGATTCAGCATGATACTTTTTATCATATATAGGAGGACAACAGAATTAAATAGAAGTGGAAAGAGGGAATTATTTCTCACTTCATTGCAAAACATTAGTCCAAATTGTTATAGGATTATGGGGTATTAAAACAGTCAAGATTCAATGTTGCTCAAAGGGATGCCACTGGCGAACAGGTACAAACTAAGCCAGTTCTATCATGTTCTGGGGCGGCATATCTTGGGAGACATGTACCGAGTTAGTGCTAATCCAAGGAGGAGCCTTGAATGCTTTGATGTATGTAGAAATGATTCAAGATCATGTAGTGCCTGTTGTGTCGTTCATAGGTACTGAATCGTTGCTCATGCATGATAATGGCCGATTTCACAAGGCAAGATGTGTTTTTGAGTACCTGAACACCACAAATATTCACACTATTGATTGGCCAGCAAGAAGTCCAGACCTTAACCCAATCGAGCATGTTCGAGATTCACCTCCTACTACCCTTGAAATACTAAAGGCAGCTAGCTGTATTGGAGGAGTAGGACAATAAACCCCAAGATTTTCTTCAAAATCTTTTTACTAGTGTGCCAAAACAAGATGAAGCAGTCATTCAAGCCAGAGGGGGCAATACATCTTATTAAATGTAAATTAAAAATTTAAAAGTTAAAGTTTTAAAAAGTGAGTTTTCTAACTTTCTTCTTGATTAGAAGAAATATTGTAATTTATTTTAATAAAACTTGTTTATGTCCAATTTAAAAATGTTTATTATGGACGTCAGAACCTTTCTTTATGAAAAAACAGACGTTTTTGTTTCCAATTCAAATATTTCAAAGTGTTGCGATACTTTTGAGGAGGAGTTTATTTATATCTTATTTGTTAAAAAATGTGTATCTATATTTTAGAAAGTGAATATAATAATACTTTAAACAATGAAATAAACCATTTATTCACCTGTTTCCATCTTCTGGTGCATACTTTGAATGTTTACCTAGTTTAAAATTCCTTACAACTCTTACAGGTTTCCCACCACGCCAATCTTTAGCTTCAGCTCCTTTATTTACATCAAACTTAGCATTGCAGTTCATTGCTAGAGCTCTGAAAAGAATAAATGAATTAACAATTAAATAAATAATGATAGAACACTTTTTATAATTAAAAAATTGTATTTTTTTCTGTTTTTACTTATTCATTCTTGTAAGTTGTTGATCTGAGCTTTGTTCAGCAGTTCTCTTGTTTCCAGACAAGTCGCGACCACCAGATCCTGTGTAAAAAAATTCCTCCCCTGAATCAATGTCGTCTTCATATCCACCACTCAAAACAAGTGAAAACGCTCCATCACTTTCCCGACCATGGATACCTGCTACATGAGGTCTATGAACTCCCGCCTCAGAGACCTGCATCAAAATTAAATACTCTACAAATCAATAATAAAAACCCTACACGACAAACTAATAAGTAAAAAACACTATTCTACTAATTAATAAGTTAAAAAGTGTGTAGCAGCATTTAATCTAATCGGTCCAAAAGCTTGCAATCTATTAGTCCAAAAAGTGCAAGCTATCAACAGTGTAGTAATACATTTGCATGAGTTATATTCCTGGAATATCAGCGAATCTCAAATATGGGAATGCTGGACCTATTTGAAACCTAGAGGGAATACATTTTAAAAAGACCAAAAAAGACAAAAACAAATCTTTGTTTTAAATATCAGCTTTTTATTATTTTAAATTACAATATACTAGTTGGCCCGTGCGAATAATTCACAGAAAATTTCGTATAATGAAGAAATAGCAAAACAATATGGAAATAAGTAGATCCTATGTATTAGGAAGTAATTAATATTTTTCCTTGGTCAATTACAATATTCCATTTAACATAATAGACCAAAATATTTGTACAAATTGCTGTGCTAGGACCTATTTTTAAACGCTGACTGGAAAGATAATAAAAGTAATAAAGACAAAATAATGTCCCGATCATGGGATTTTCTAAATTATTAAAAAAAATAAAACTCACTAATGTCAAACCTAGGAATGTTCAGGAATAATTGTAATAAAAAATAAATTTAAAAAATCATTCAATAAACATACCAATTTTAGCAGTTGTAGAGGAACACCAAAATCAATCTTCTTTATTGTTTTTCATGTGCTTCTTTTCATAATTATAATTATTATACTATAAATTATTACCACTGTATATTCATATCTACATATAATCTTGATTATCTTATATAATTATCCCCACATACATTATTACAATAAGGCTCGAAATCGGTTTTGTACCAAATATAAGCTCCTGTCATGCTCAAATACCTTGAATGGGGTACTGTTGGATTCAGAATTTCACAGGGAGTTAGCGAATCGTATTCTCCCCTTCTGTTTTTCTTTCTAAAATAAATAAAGTCGATACAAACATTTTGCTAGGCTTTAATACTGGAACGGTAGTAGACCTGTAGATCAATACGGGACAAATTGGACCTTGAAGATTTCGATGGGTACAGCAAGACCCGGATAGTTTCTCCGGAACTATCGGATCATGCATTTTTAAGCCCAAAAACATACTATTTTCAAGATAACGCAAGGCATAGGGTTCGCATCCACACAGCCTTACGTTAATTGTAGTACTGTCATTGAATACAAGTCTCATTTTGACGACTTGAGGCCCCTATGACCGATAGAGGAGGAGTTTATCTTATTTATCGAAGGTGTTTTTTGTAGGTAAGCCACATCATCCATGTTTTTTAATTCTTCACCAAATCCCAGGATTGAGCCACCAATTTTGAAGATTTCCTTCTCCTTCAGGCGGACAAAATAGTCTAATCACCCCGAAAATTCAGGCAAAAAAGTTATGAAAGAAAAGGAACTTTATTTGCGAACAACTCGAAAATTACACATATTTCCCTGGGTTATGTCAATGATTATATAAAAGATTACTAAATTCCCTACAAAAGGAAAAACAAAACAAAAAATCATCGAAATCTGACTATTTTTAGCAAAGATATAGTTTATTGAAATTTGTAAACATGTTGGTTCCAAACATTAACGAAGTTTTAATTTAATTTTTATTTCCTTTATCGATTATAATTAGGGAGACAGTGATTCCTTTTAGGATATGTTGCATTGTTTTATTTTCTTATTAATTTATTATTTGATCATTGAAGAATAAACTGTGCGAATTTTCGTATGGGCCAACTAGTTTGCTTATAATTAATGACACACTAAAAACATTACAGAAAAAAAGAATAGTAAATAATAGTCGATAGGTGTTACATACCAGAAAGAGAGATAATATTTGATTCTACTATACACCTGACTAATTGGAGTTTATAAGTAATAACCATAGAAAATGTGAAGATAAATTTGTTAAAACTTAATCAGCTGCTCATTAAAATTATATATAAGAACACAAACAACAAATAAGAATTTCTATTAATTAAAAAAAATATTTCTTTTGTTAGAGTAAGACCAACAAACCTGCACTCTAAATTTCCAAGTAGTACCAACTTCCACCCCTGGAATTGGTCCAAAATGATTAGGTGGGACAAGAGTACATTCTTTTGTACGTCCCACACATGCCATTCCTTTACCCCAGTCACGTGAAGTATTATTTACGGCTGAGGCCATTTTAGCTTTCTTTTTGGATTCTTTAAGTTTTTCTCCTGCCTTCACTATTTCATTTTCATCATTTTTGCAGTCTGAACAATACCTTTGAAATAAACAATATCAAGTTATTTAAGAAAGCTGATAATCAAAGGATAATTCTTATCAATCAAACCAATTATATAAAAATATACTAATTTGTAAAATGATATAACCAAATAATTTATCAATAAGGTTGAATGCAAAATAAAAATAAAGAAAAAATGGTGACTTCTTCGTCTTTTTTCGATCTTTGACTATCCAATAGACCAGAACTCGAATATACTAATTTAGTTCAAGTTTGTTAAAATTAGCAGATAATAATCTAGCATTAACACTTTTAAGTGATTAATATAAATAAATAATATTCTTAAAAGGTTTATGGCATCAAACCCGGCAGTTTAACACCATATATTAATTAATTTTATCACACAACTATCTCAGCTGGAAATATAGTCAAATGCAGAAATCAACATTTATTTTATTTATTAAATGAAACTGACCAATTAAGTCAGTGGAAAACTAACAGTTTTAAGATATCAGTTGGATAGATTATAAATAATTTATGAGTTAATAAATAATGAAGTCATATCAGAAACACCGAACGTAACTAAACAATAATCTAAAATTGTGAACATGAAAATAAAATAAAATTACATTAATATTTAAAAATAAAAGTAAAATGAAAATACCATTCATCAACTTCTGGAATTGAACTTAATGGAGGTTTGAGGCAAGAGATGTGAAAAGCCATGTTACATTCATCACACATAACTTGTTTCTCAGGATCATTTTTCCCACCACAGTTGTGGCATCCACATTCTCTGCATTTTCTGCGTGGATTGTCGGAACAGTTTGAACAATAGGGGGCATTAACACCTGTTGAAGAAATAAGTAAAAGTAAATGAAAATATTTGTATTTAAAAAAACTCAATAGAAATTTTTAATTTGTATGTGTTGATGGTTGACTATATGATGTATCAAGTAGGTATTCAGAGATTATGAGAGAAAAAAAAGACCAAATTAAATTCATTATTTTGATTTCTTTCCTCACTGAATCCTGAGCCATCTCCTTCTTATTGTTAATATAATTACATGTTGATGAAGCAATAATTTTAAATAAAACTAACCAAAGAAAGATGTTAAAATCACAAAAATAGAAAATACAGATGAAATAAGAAATTTAGATCTTCTAATATGCTAGAAACCACAAATATAGTTAATAACATCAACTTACGTTTTTTATCTGTATCCTGCTGCATCAACTCTAATTCATCTTCAGTTCTTTCGGATATCAACTTTTTTGGTTCAATTTTCATAACTTCATCTGTAAATGCAATGGTACTGTCATCAAGACTTGTATTTTCTGTACCAACATATAGCGTTCCTTTTAAAGTAGGTTTTCTTCTTCCATTTTTATTTAAACTTGTTACTTTTAAGTCATACCAATATCCTCTATCTTGTGCTTCTTCAATATTATAATTTACCATTACTAGATCTCCAACTGTAATATCTTCTATAGGTAAAATATTTCTGGCTCGAGGTCTAACATCCTTTAAAGATAGAAGTAAGGGCGGATCATCCGGATAGCTGTATAAAAAAGATTAGTTTAATCTAGATAACAAGTATTATAAAAGAAATAATATTTTATATTAAATATTAATCACACATGCTAATAGTAAGGGATAAAATGAAAAATTAAAGCAAGCATAAAAGCCACATAAATAAACCCCATGTTCCAGAAATATCATGTAATAAAATAAATGTATTAACTATTGACAATCCTGAAAGCAGATTGGAAAATTACTGTTTGTAAATATCTTTCTGACTGCTGTTATGATTTACAGACAGCAAGGTGAGAAATAACCATTAAACAAATAACAAGAACAGTGTTTATTTAAATTCAAAGGTTAATTAAAGCCACAACAAACAAAATGATTTGAATAAAAAAATAAAAAAAATCAGCCTATAAAACAACAAATAAAATGTTTTAGAGGAAGCATTTTTTATTCACTGAGGAAGCACTTTATTTTAAAATAAAGTGAGCTACGGAGGATTTTAACATTAATGTAGTTTCTCATAAATAATTTAGTTTCTTTATTACTATAAACAGCATAATAATTGTTGGTGCTAGTAATAGTGGGGGGAGGGGAGAGGGCTTAGTCCAGCAAGTGGGCCTATTGATCCTTTTTGGCAACCCCAAAGACGATACTACCAGTGGTTGTCTATTGTACCTCTACACTGTCTCAAATATTTTTGTTCTTCTAATGAAGTTCAAAATGTTGGGCCATTTTATGGAAGTAGCTTTGCAAATTGGATTCTGTCTGCTCCCAGAAACCTGTATCTGAGTGACGCAAATCGGTCACATTCCGTGATGAAGTGATTGGCAGTTTCAGGTGCACCTCAGATTACAGAGTTCTTCATCCTTACAGAGTTCCACTATCCCACAGATCTTTAAATGTCTTTTAAGTCTGCATGGCCTGTTAGTACTCCGATGATGAGTCGGATTTCTTTCCTAGTTCCTAGGCCCAGGAGCCACTTTGTTTTGGAGGTAGAGGGGCTTTTAATTAATTGTTTTGTTTGCCTAAACTCCGTGCATTCCCTCCATTCTTTACCTATTTTTTTCCAGATCCAATCAAGGACTTCTTTCCGCTGATGCTTTTTGGATATTCCTATTGCAGATTCCGGACCTACAATAGGAAATTCTGCTCCTTTCCTTGCAATGAAATCAGCTTTTTCATTGCCTTTAATTCCCTTGTGAACAGAGACCCACACTAGTTCCATCCTTTTAGAGCAGGCCAGTGTCTCCAAAGCCTGTTTATACTCTTGCAACAGTGTGGAGGTCACTTTGGGTGACTCCAATGCTTGTAGTGCCGATTGACTATCCGAATAGATAATGATGCCAGCATTCTCACAATTGGTAACTTCTGAACAGGTGGCTGCAGAAAATATAGCAAACACCTCTGCTTGAAATACTGTGGCATGTTTACCTAGTGGTATGCTTAGTTTTATATTAAGGTTCTCTATATAGACTCCTGCGCAAGTTAAACTAGTTGAGTTTTTCCTTGAACAATCAGTAAAACAGGGCAGGTAGTCCTTTAAACAATTGTTACTTTAACATGGTGGCGACAACATGACACCAAAAATATTTCTGATTAATAAATGCGCTTAAAAGGAGCACCACAGGTCGAGTGAATGAGTGCTTGCCAGCCAGATCTTAATATCCCAGCCTGATGTACATATTACAAATAGTAAATAGTATTGGTATGTTTTTTCTTTTCAAAAAAGCAATGTTTTAATTCCATTTTGCTTAAATTTTATTTATTACCCTTGTTTGATTTGAATACAACGACCAGTGTTGACAGTCAAAGATAGATGAATAAAGCGACTGTGGTCATTTATAACGAAAAAGTTACCCCTTCAAGGTCATTATAAACGATATCCACTGTAAATTTATTTCTAATTTGAAGAAAAAAATGTATATACTAAAAAAATTTTGAATTAACAATTTTTTCCAAACATCTCCTTGACTTTTCCTTGTTTTGAAAATTCCATGACTTTTCCTATTCTCTAAGTCGATCGCCATCCTGAGATATCTAAAATATTTAGGTATGAGAAGTAATCTCTAAGTGACTTGGCCTGGATTTGAAATATTACATTTTTGTTTGTTTTTTTAATACAATTTTAATCTACTCCTATAGCATTACCAAACAGCTCTCACATATCATCCAATAGCCAAGAACTGATAATAACTAGTGAATTCCTCATCTTGAACTCATGTCAAAATATGACCCCACATGAAATCTGTCATTGTATCCACATAAACATGGTAAAAGACAAGACGATGACTCCTAACCGTTATCTTCTCTTAATTTATTTATGCATAAATTATTCCATCCAGTTTACATGATAATCTCAAGCTGGCTTGTATGGGGTAAAATGAAGAGGAGAGTATTTAATTTAAAATTCTCAGAGAGTATTTGACAGCTGAATTAAAAAAAAAAACCTAAGAAATGACATAGTGATGAGACAGGTTAGTTAGATCAATGCAGAAAGGTCACAAGACCAAACCTTATTAAAAAAAAAAAAAAAAAATTTTTAGTAAACTATTTAAAAGATGTGCTAAATCTAATTTTATTTACTTGACTAAGATTGATACATGTATCGTTGGTATTCTACAAATGAATTATATAAAGAACAAAATATAGAAAAATAAATATATTACCTTTGAAAATACACCTTGTAAATTAAACAATCATCTTCTTCAGTTGGTTCAGCATTCAATTTATTTATATCTTTGAAGATGCCAACAATTTTTCCTTCAAACCAAGCTCCATAGCACAAATCTTTAGCATCGACATAGTCACCAACCTTTGAGCAAAAATAAATATACTCATATGAACTAAATACCTACTAAATAGACTGATTGAGCTAACAGCAAATAAATAACAAGCCCCACAGTCCACACTGTAAATGATTGCTTCATTTGTTTTTAATTATAAAAATATTATAAATTTAATCATTTATTTCTCTTAATTTAATTTAATTAGATATTTTTCTTTAACAAAAAAGTTCAGATGAAATATAGTTGGAAAGAAGTTTGAATAAATGTCATATTTAAGTTCAATTTCACATGCTCTTATAATTGTCCTATTCAAACAGTCAATAAATTAAGAATTTTTGATTAAGTAATAGTAATTTTCAATACACATAGAACAACTAATACCAAAATTTAAGATATATTTGAATTTCTATAAACCATAATTAAACAGTGTTTTTAAAGAACAGTTCCTGCTAGAAATTTGAAGTAACATACCCTCAGCACTGAAATAATAACATCATACAATTATTGAATGATTTATTAATATTGAAATATATTTTGTATGAGTTCTATCATATATTTTAAAATTATATAAGAATTAAGGTATAACTAAATTTGTATTTATTCTACATTATTAATCGTTTATTTAAAAATTGGACAATTTTTGACACATGCAAATTAAGGGTCCCTTGTATGGGCTTTAAGGGCCAATGCTTATTGGCCTTGGTATATAAAACATAAGCATCAATACAATTATAACAAAACAGCCCTCAGAAAGTAAACATTTCAACAAAACTCGATCATAGAAGCAGGAGACGGTCCGAGGTAATAGATAAAAAAAAAAAAAACTTGAAATAGTGAAAAAACTATTTTGTTTCATTATTTTAAGTCTTTTAAATAACAACTGCTCTGGATCACTTTCTCAAAAATACATGACGGTCAACCAGCGGGTATTCAATTAAAACTCGATATAGTGACAATGAAATTAACAAATCAAGGGACTTTTCACACTAAAATTACTCTGAGATGGAGAAAGGATAATTTTAATACAAAATAAATAAACCACTCTACAATAATTATTCATTAAATTACACTTTTAAAGAAAGTATGATAAAGTTTCAAATTAATTAAAATATTTCTGAAAGTAATTTATTGATAAAAACATTAATGTTGATAATGTGAAAAAAATAGAATTAACAAATAAATGTACAGAATCAAGCAAGAATAAAATATTGAAAAATTCAAAATAAAATAGGCACTAAAAACAATCATACTAACCTTAAAATACAGACTTTCAGCAGGAAATTCTTCTTCTTTCTAAAAATTAAAAAATTAAAATGTAAAATGCTAACATATATAAAAAGAAGAAACCAAAGCTATTAAAATGAACAAAAGTTTACCAATTTTTTTGGATTATCAACATTATCCTTCTTGGGAGACTTTTCATCTACACAATTAATTTCTTTATCGGCGTCTTCATTTAATTCAGGTAAATCAGGTTTTATCATAAGTTGCACCACATCGTTTACATTAATGTTATAGTCAAATATTTTGTAGTCATCTTCTAGCTAAAACAGAAACTAATTCTCATCAAATTACAGTTTAATTTTTGTAAAAATCTTTTATTCGAGTTTTTCATAATGATTAAAAATACAATATTGACAGAATAAATATAAAAACAAACCTGCTTCCCTCTGAAAAAAAGCCTCTGTTTTTCACATTTTACACCTAATTCTTTTTCAACAAGTTCTTTAAACTGAACTACAGTTGTAAGTTTCGAAACCGTGACGGTAACATTTTGTTTGCCATCAATTGTTCTCACTTGAACATACATTTTGATAGAACTCTACTTTTTTAAAAACTGATTCAAACAACTAATACTGAGGTTCTGGTAACACAACAAAGGCGCCAATTCAACTTTTGGCGGGCTTTAATCTAATATCGATTCCAGTAATTTCAAAGAGGTTATAAAAAGTAATAACTTTCCATAACTTTCAGAAAGGATGTTCATAAATTAAATATATAGTATAAAATCGTTATATCACAGGCGTTTATACCTATCATATCTTAAGCTACGAAATAAACAAAAAAAAAAAAAAATAAGGTTAAGGGACTACAGATCTGCAATACAAGAATGAGTTTTGCAACAGCGGACTAATAATTTTAACTTGAAAAATTTTAAGAAAAACAATTATTTGATACAATTTATTTACTAGTGATGATTCACAATTAGTGAATGTTATGAAGTCTCCAGTAATGAATGGTTCAAGCAGACCTATAACGTAAAAAAGAGATTTTATACATTTGGAACGTACCTGGAGACCTTTCTGGGACAAATTCAACCTCTCTAAAATGGGTACCCTCATTTGAAAAACGAAATTTGACCATTTAGTGCGATCTTGACCAAATCACTATCTTGTATCACCATTGGTCTAGAAACAGTATTTCCTACTCCGTACAAGACTCATTAGCATCTAGAAGTACATGTTAAAAGGTACTGAAATAATTTTAAATGTACTTATCCCATTTTTCTAAATGCTAGTAATTTCTCAAGAAATGCCCGTCTTTTAAAATAATTAACAGATTTTTTCTTCTTCTTCTTCTTAGTTATTTCCTCTTCTACCGCTAGGCGGTGTGAGGAGCCGAATCCACAACTCTCTATCCTGAGCCAACTGCCGCCTCCTCCTCCAGTCAATATCCCTTCTGTCAAAGGCCTCCTTGACACTTGCCTCCCAGGTCTTCCTGGGCCTTCTCTGAGGTTTTCTTCCCTCAACTATGCTTTCCAACGCTATACTGGCCATTCGATTCTCTGGCATTCGAGAGACATGACCAAACCATCTCAAACGATTTTCCTCCATCACCGTTTCGGCTGCTCTTACTGGCTGAACTACCGAATCTGGCTGATGTGCTTTGTGGTGAGAGCCCATGACTCGCTGGAGTAGGTCATTATTGGGAGAAAAGTATTTTTGTATTTTAAAAAATTCTAATACGCACCCAATCAGGAAAATAACTGCGGCTATGTGTATATGTAAATATAAATAGGTCATTTCAAAATTGTAGGCAACTGGAATTATTTAAGAAGTTTATATAAATGATTGTGTTTATTATTAACCATAAAATTTCTCCATGATATTTTTTTTACTGCTACATTTTTAAAGAGGAATCATTTGTCGAGTTTATTTATTTAGTTGATTTTAAGTCTTGAAAATTTAACATTATATTTAGGAAATAAATACTAATACATAAGATTATAAATATAAATATGTAAATATACTAATATTTTATGATATTTTATGTCCGAAGATGTCAACTTATTTATTATTCGTAGCTAAGATGTTTTGGATTTTTTGTCATAATTTACATTGATCTGTGGTGATTCATCTTTGATCTGAATTGCAGTTGTTAGTACTAAGGTCTTTGTTTTAAATATTGCTGATTCATAAGTTCACAAGTGACTCAAAACATCTTTGTCTGGTATCGTTAAAAAATGATTTACAAGAAAAAAATACATTTTGTGAACATAATATACAAAGTAATTATAATCGATGGTGAAAAATTCTTTTTTTTTTTATTGCTACTAAACAGTTAGTGAATTTAAAATTTATTATTTTGAGAATATATGAACTCATAACAAAAATAATGAATTGTTAAAACAGAAAATTTAATAACATGAGGATGATGAGATATTTAAAATCGAAAGCATTCAATCAAAAAATAATCATGGCGTAACTTTCTTAACTTTGTTTTTATAATTTTATTTTATGTTCAGAGTGTCCACTAAGTAGAGAATAATATTTTGTAGAGAATAATAAGTTTTATGTTTTTTTTAAGTTACTCACGTTTTTTGTAGAATTGGTAGCGGTAACTGAAAAAAAAACTATTTAATTTAGGTGATAAGCAATTGCATCGCAGTAAACAAGACAAAAATTACTTTAAATAAAATTTGAGTTTGTCATTGTTAAAACCATTCAAAGAGGAATTTTAAACTATGCTAAGTTCGGTTATTTAGAAAATCATGAATTATTCACGATTTTTTTTTTACCACCCTCCAACTATACAACAGATACTCCACTTTTAGGAAAATTTCCTTGTTTAATAAGCTTCAAGTCCATATAAATTCAGTTCAGGATTTATTACGAAGTAAGTTGAGATTCATCTCGAGTTGTGTAAAAAAATGGTGTTTTGATACCCTGTCACCTTTAAGTGTTCGTGTTTTCTCATCAAAAATGGCTACAATAAATTATTGCAGAGCTATAATATCTTTTTTTTCCATTATCTGGAATGTATTATAATAAACATAAATTATACACTTTTTATACATGTAAAAAAGTAAAAAAAAAATAAAAAGATTTTTCGAATATTTATCATCTAAAGTGATGCAATTGTTAAGCAAAAACAAAATAATTTATATATTTTTATTTATCGCTATCTATAAGAAAACAAAAAAATTATATTCCTACTTTTCTGTTTAATATCGGACCATTGTTTACATTAACTTTTTCTTAGATCTTGTGGTCCCTCTATTTACGGGAAACCCTGTATACTTAATTTTTTGGATTGGTTTTGAGGATAAATATCACATATTTCTTAGTAGATTTTATGTATTTATTCTCATCATTGGAAAACGTGTAAAAAACTGTCAGAACGAAACCATTTAAGACTCTATTATCAGATTTTTTACTTGTTTTGCCGTGATCTTTAAACTCCACTTTCAATTGATGAAGATACTTATAGATTACAAACATGATGATGAAATAACTTTTTTTAAACTCTCAAAGATTATTTCGAAATAGTTGACATTTCATTTTTTTTTTCTTTTTTTTTAGCCCTTGCTACTGCGAATTCATCTCATTCTGCAGTATTGCATTTCAGGAGGCAGATCAACGTTTTTTTTCTGTCCATCGTTGGTAAAATGGTATCTCCCCCCCCCCCGTATCCCTCCTGTACTCTATTAACGTTCTAATGTAACTGAAGCATAATTCTAAAATCTAAATTATAATTCTCGAACAATTTTCCCACCTCTTGTGTGGAAAACAAAAATAAACTGTTTATATATTAACAAATATTTTTTTGATGGAATATTATATTAATATTAGGCATAAAGAATTATATAAGCCATGTAAAGAAAATTATGGAAATTGATAATTAATAAAATTGCTCTTTGCATTTTTATTTTTATTCATTTAATATTTTTTAAAATTTATTTATTTTTTATTATAATTTTTTTATGACCCGGCAGTCCTTTTTTGTTAGGTTTCAGTTCAAGACTACATTAATCCTAGTACAATCAAACGCCCTTATTATATTGAAGAATTGATTTTCATTTAAATATAAAGTGTATTCATATATATTGAAGAGTATTGAAACGGAAACTTAAATCAATGATGTGGAACCTAAACTCATAGAAAATTCAAAAAATCTAAAAAAAAAATGGGGTAAAAATTGTTTTAAGCAAATTAGGTTAATTGGTGTACTGTGGGTTTCTACACTTATTTACAACTACAATCCATGATTATGTATATATATTTTTAATGAGCAAACATACTGAAAACCAATTGAGATTTGGAATATAAAGCTAGATACGTAACGAATTGAGATCCTTAATTTTCAAACTATAGAAAATTACCAGACTTATGTTAAACATTGACTGAAGTCTCCACTTATTGTGGCTTTCCAAGAAAAAGTTTTTTCTTATTTTAAGTGTATTTAAAAGAAATACCTTATTCCAATCAGATTTACAAACGTTCTTTTCTTAAATTAATAAAAAAATACTTTTTATAATTTATTAAATACCTTATTTTTTATTGTAAAAATAGACCAGCTATAAACCACATAAACATCATTTCTTTTTTACTTCTTGTTCTTTTCTCTTATTTCATACGTCTTTCATTCTTTCATTTTGAAGTGTACTCTTTTCTTCAGTTCTTTTATTTCTGATTCGTTTTGTATTATCTATCACAAGTACTTATAGTTCGTTAATTTTTTATCTAAATAATTCCCTATCTATACAGTAAATGATAATTTTTTTCATTTTTTTTTTTAAATGTCTTATGTCTGAGGGAAGGGAAGGAAGAGCAGGAACAGAAATGGCCTGGGTACGTCAGTACCCAACAATCAATGTATAAATTATAAGAATTATGACAAAGTATAATTTTATTACAGTATTATGTTTGTATATAAAAAAAATTATTGTTGTAAAGTGTCATTATTCGTAACAGGATACCTATTAAAAAGATCCAATCCAAGAGTTGTGAAAATTAAAATATTTCTGTACCAAATAAATACGTATGTCGTACTTTTAAAAATTTAGTTTCCGAAGGATTATGTTTCAGCTATTGAAATTGTTAAGACATTTAGTTAACAACCTCTGACCGATCTTCAAGGGGAAGGGGAACAATCTGAAGCCCTCCTCAAAATCGAAAACTAATTTTTTTTTCATTGCTCCTTAATTGTTTCTGTGAATAGTATGAGCTAAATACTTAAACAATTACAAGTAATATTTATAAATATTATTTTTTTTTTAATGATATTTACAATAGTATTAAAAATAAAAATACATTCAGTAAATGTGAACACAGGAATAAAATAACACGAAACCGCTTGTTGAGAAACTACCCATTGGTAGCACTAAAAAAATATATGTACATTAGAGATACGATATCATCTTCTTTTCATACGCCTCGGAGGGTTACCAGGAATCGAAGAGAAGCAATGTTAGAAACGATAGGATTCGGATGGTTATGAAGTTTGTTATGAAAGGATATGTATCTGGATTGGGCCAAATCGGAAACATTTGGAACATTAAGGTCTTTATGGATTATTTTATTTGTGTCAAAGTAAGGAGCATTTAGGATGTTACGAAGGACTTTGGATTATAAGGGTTAGATATTGGAGGAATTTGATGG